GGGGGGCTCCTCCTCCCACCCTTTCTCGCCCAGCCCTCTTTGGCAGAACAGGTGGCTGCCCCGCCCCCTCTTCCCTGCAGTCCTGCAAGGGAGCGGGGGCTGGTGCCTCAGCTCGGGTCAGGGTGGCTCCACTAGCTCCCAGGGCCCCAGCGTAGTTGGGGCAGGTGTGACCTGGGATGCAGGCGTTTGGAGGCATGGCCCCAGGGAAGGAACACCGACCCTGCCCTCTCCCACCATGACGAGTGAGTCAGCAGGTCCCTGGGGCTGAGGCTTGGTCCCCGGTACTGCCATAGCAGGGTGGGGTCCTGGCCCCAGTCATCCTGGGGCTCTCTGGCAAGCAGCTGGAGCGAGGTTCCCATGGCCTCGGTGCTGTGCCAGGTGTGGAGCTTGGGGCTGGGGAACGCGGCGCTCAGACTGCGCCTCTCTCATGGAAGAGACCCAGTGGGAGGTCTGTGCTGTGTGTCGCTTGTGACGCCTGCCGGTGTATTGCACCCCTTCCTGCCTTTGGATGTGCTCTGTGTCTGGAAATGGTTCTGCCCATCAGCTTGGCATCTTAAGGCAAGATGCTTACAGGTGGCCACCGTCCCGTTTATCTGTGTGGTATCATCAAGGCTGGGGCTCCACCAAGCCAAGGGGGACAGCTGGGATTGCTGTTGCCCCACCTGGGAGGCTGGGACTGTGACCCCAGAGCCCATGCTAGGAGCCCTCGAATGGCTCAAAGCTGTGACCTGGGGTAGCATCACCTCCTGTTAACTTATGTTAGTTTAAAAACATTCCCTCTGTTGAAAGAGCTAAGCATGGGCATTTATTAATGGCAGATTATTCTGTGACATGGGGCTGTGGTCATCCATTCGTTAATGCCCACTGGCCACCATTTCAGTGCTGGCTGCCATGTTAGGGCCTAGAAATACAGAACAGAAAGACAGCTCCCAGGCCCCGCAGTGACGGAAGGATGCCAAGCTGGCTGCAGGCATGTCCAGCCCGCCCCTGGCTTCCCTGGGGTGGTGATGTCAGCCGTGGGCTTCATGGGATGAGTTGGAGCCAACTCGGTGTGCTTGGCTTGGGCGGGAAGAAAGCGCTGCAGGCGGAGGAGGGCAGACACACACGTAGAGGTGCGAGAGGGGGGCCCAAGCCAGGCCTGCAAGGACGCCAGAGCAGGGAAGGCCGTTTCGGACATCCTCCAAATAGACCTGTGCCATGATTTCAAGAAAAGCCAGCCCCTGGGTTCCTCCTGATAAAGAGCTTAGTTCTCTGAGGAATTCAGTGTTTTCTCTTGGGCAGTCATTTCATGTCTTTTATTGTGAGATTTTTTTTTTTTTTTTTATATTTGTATTTATTTGAAGGCACTGGGGACCAGAAGGAAGTTTTCGCGCAGGCTCAGCGGCCATGGCTCACGGGCCCAGCCGCTCCGTGGCATGTGGGATCTTCCCGGACCGGGGCACGAACCCGCGTCCCCTGCATCGGCAGGCGGACTCTCAACCACTGCGCCACCAGGGGAGCCCTATTGTGAGAATTTTCATTTCAGTATTCACATTCACATTTCTGAGGTAAGCTTTCAGAAATATTTTGTTTTTTTGTTTCTCTGATAATTTATGGAGTTGAAATCACATAAGATTATCCATTTTAAAGTGAGTGTTCCAGTGGCATTTAGCACCTAGGCACAAAGATTCGCTTTTGAGAGCATGTGTAAGGAGGGGTGTGAGGGGACCCTGCAGCCCACTCAGGCCTGACT